GTGGTAAATGAGTTCTCAGTACACTGGCGGTGCCAGCCAAGAGGCACCAGAGAAGGGACACCAAGGGGCAAGGAGCTGGAAGGACAGGGACTACTCACCTGCCTCATACACCAGCGTGTTGGCCTTGGCCAAGCCCACCTTGTAGCACAGGTACACTGCTGGGCCCCACTGCCCCAGGGACGGCAAAAGACAAGCAGATACACAGCTAACGTTTCTGGGGTCACTTTTCTCTACCACCCCAAAGTGGTCTTTCATCTTTAGAATGCCCACTAACCCTGGCACCTTATGACCAGAGTCACCCATCTAGGCCCAATCCTGACACGGGAGGCCTTGGTCCTTTGTTCAGCCCCTCACACCACGATAGAGCAAGCCAACCTCTTGGCCCCAGGGCCCCACTTACCATGCCAGGGTTGAGATTGCGGGGCAACCGGCAATAAGTATGAGGAGTGCCCTCGCCCTTGCTGGGCAGCACCAGGCAGAGGTCAGTGATGCCCAGGGCATGCAGTCCTGCCCCTTCTGCTGCCCGCCGGTAAGTGAGGTAGGTGCGGGGGTGCCCAGGGCCTGGAGGGGCCAAGTTGGCTGAGTGACTGTAGGGTGTAGTGTCTAGCACTTGGAAGCCAGGCTTGGGACGTTCTTTCCCCTCATACAACACCCTTGACACAGAAAACAGAGAGGGAGAGAGAGACAGACGTTGGGTTGAAGACAGAGGAGAAAGCCCCTCGTCCTGCCAGAGCTCCCTATCCACCATGCACCCTCAGCCTCACCAAGCCTGAGCGTATGGCCCACTTCTCCCTGCTAAACTGTGTCTTCCAGAATCGTGTGCCCCTTCTTCTGACCTCAGCACTACGTCTTGATCAGTAACACCCTCTCAAGTCTTTCATGGCTCTCATACTCATCAATAAATCCTAAGAATAAAAACTCCCATGTACTGACTCGGTGCCAACTCTCCAATATGAATCAGCTCATTGAATTTTCTCAACCACACTGCAAGGAAGTATTATTACCCCCATTTTCCAGAGGAAGAAATAGGCCCATGGGGCTCAGTAAGCTGCCAAGATCTCATAGCAAGCAACTAGCAGCACTAGCATGTGAACCCAAATCTGTGTGACGATTAAGGGCATACAGCCCCAACAGCCTGTCCCTGGTTCTAGACTCTTACCTTCCCCTTTCCATCACCCACTCCTCACCCCATCCCTCTCTGCCTCACCCTGGACCCCTCCCAGCTCCCTTGGTACCACCATGGGTAGAGGTACACACCCCAGCTCCACAAGCGGGGGCTTGTCACGACCCCTGCGATAGCAGATGACTGGCTGAGTTCCACCCAGGAGCCCAGCACTGAGTTCCAAGGGGTGGCCCCCAGTGGAAGACTGGATGCACGTGTAGCCATGGGGAACCTCCTCGCCCAGTGCCCTTGCGATGACTGCCACGTCTGTAATGGGTTCAGCTGGCCGGGGAGGGCGCAGGGGCCCGCTGGGCTCAGGAACCCAGGTGTCCTCAGGGATGGGCGCTCCATCCCCTGCAAGCCCAGCTATCACGAAGTAATCCACCAGTCGGGGGGGCCGCTCCTCTGCCATGGCCCCCCCTTCGCTCACTGCATCTGCAATAGTCAAAAGGGGGAAAGATGAGGCATGGAAGCTGGTGTTGCCATGGCAACCAGGGAGAGAGCCTACCCCCTTCCTCTCCTCTTCCTAGTACTTCCAAGGAAAGGCAGGGTAAGCTTTCAGCCAATCCTAAACTCTCCCGCCTGTGACATCACCAGGCCCTCATAACCCAACACAGCTCCTTAAAGAGACCAGGTCCCTCCCACTTAGTGGTACCAGTTCTTTCCCCAGAGCCCAAATTCCACTTCACTACATACCTAGTGAAGCGGGCCTCCGATGTCATATTTCTCCTATATCCCTTTTAAAAGCCCCACTCCCCATCCCTTGCATGTAGCCACAAGATAAGATCACAAATTTTCCTATGACATCATTCATGCTGGCCATGACATCATGCCAATCGTAGTCTTTTTAAGGGTTTCTGGCCTTCCTAGTCCAGTTATGACATGATAAACCGTCCCAGCCCTGCTCACGTTCTTAAAGAGCCCACTTTTAAGTTTTTGTGAGGACCCAAAATTTTTCCAGGAAAACTCATGTTTAGAGCCTTCTCACACAACTTAAATATCCTTTTTCTTAATCAAACTCCATTAAGCTGGCCCCAAAAAGTACCCTTCCACCTATAAGACACGCAAGTGGCCCCAGTTAGATTTCCAAAATGCTGAGGGAGATAGTCGGCCATGTCATGCCCTCCTCCACGGAGCCCAGACAGAGAAACAGGCCCACCAAGAACTTTCAGTAACTGCTCTCACCTGCCTCCATGGCCCAACCCTAGAGACTTGGAGCCCCAACGGTCCTGGGGAACCCCAGGGTGCAGAAGCTGGGAAGGAGCTTGGTGGGTAGCTTTCAGCACAGGACAGAAGGCGTGGGGGTGCTTATAAAGGGAAGGGAGGTGGCTTCCTGAAACAGTGGAGGGTTCCGCTGCGGCTTAGCGGAAGTCAGCCTATGGGTGTGTATCTGGTGATGGTGTGTGGGGTGTTGGGGGTGGGGGGGGGTGTACTGTTGAAGGTGCCAAACAGCACCATGCTAAGTCAGAACTTTAGATAAAGGACTTGTGCAAGGCAGGGGGTGCTCTGTAGCTGTAGGATGTAGACCTACTTAACCTCCCACCCTTCCCTAGAGACAGGGAACAAGGCTGGCTCTTCCTGTAACCTGGCCTCTGGCCACACACACACACCCCACTCCACCTAAATTTAGCCACCACATCTCGGAGGTGATGCCAGGAGTCAGCGTCAGCCTCCTGATTTGGCTCTGGGACACAGCCCCGTCCCTCGTGCACTGCAGGGGAATGGGAACCCTAAGCCTGAGGCTGCAGGCAGGAGTCTTTAGGTGGAGTGAGCTAAGGGGTGACTGGGTCTGCAGGACCTCCGCAGGCAGGTCTTCTCTTAACGAGCTGGGGAAGAGTCCTGCAGTCAGCCCTTCCCTATGATAGGCAAGGGCAAGGGCACAGTCCGGGTCACGATGCCCGCAAGCCAGGGTCCAGGGAGTTCGGTTAAAAGGAGGGCCAAGAGGAAAGCGGCTGGGAAAGAAGCAGAAGAGAGAGGACAGGGGCGCGGGCGGGCGGCCGGCTGGCCGGGACGTGACGGCAGCAGAGCCGGCCGTCGCGTGATCCAAGCAGGAGGAGGGGTGCTGGGGCTCCGGACCCACGAGAGTAAGAGGGGTGCAGGGTGCAGGGTATAGCGAACTAACTCCCGGCTGTGCCCTCCCCTCCACTTTCACTTCCCCAGGAGAGAGGAACCGGAACCAGATGTGCAGCGCCAGTGAACAGCTGGGGGGACATCCACCCCGCCCGCCAGCGCTTTCCTTCCCCGCCCGCCGCCCCGCCCGGTCCAGCCCCTACCTGCCGGCCCTGCGACTCTCCGGCCGGCCGGCCCGCTGGCGGGTGGCTCGGAGGGCAGGCGGGCGGGCCGGCTGGCGGCAGAGCTACCCAGCCCCGGACATGGAGCTCCGGACTGGGGCACCGCTCCCGACCGAGCAGCGAGCGAAGGAAGAAGAGGCGGCCTAGGGTGCCCCGGCGCGGGGCGCGGTGGAGGGAGATCTGGCGATCCCTGCGTTGCCGCCGCGCTGCGCCACGCGGGTACCGTACTGCCGCCCGGCTGGCTTTGGCCCGGCGATCCTCCCGGCTCCCGCCGCTCTAGGGGCTGGGTGCTTCTCCGCGAGCCCCGCTTTCTCTGCTCCCCCCACCCCCCTCGGGGCCGTGGGTGCCGCCGCTACCCCCACCCCCCCTCCCCGGCCGGCGGCCGTGACCCAGGCATCGCCTGCTTAGCGCCCGGCCGCCTGCAGCGCGACCCCTGGCGGCTGGGAGGGCCCCCTGCACCCAGACAGCTTACCCCCACCCCACCAACCCCACCCAACAGATGCCACAGGACACTGACCCCAGAAGGCCCCAGCAATCCTAGGCGTGCTCCCTTCTGGCCCAGTTCCTACAGTCATACGTGGCTTGCATTCCTGGGTGAAGATCCTTAAGTCCTAGGAGACCCAGGTGGCTGTCCCATTTCCAGGTTTAGGGCAAATTGCATCCCTTTGGGCCTAAGCTAGAAACTCTCAGTTCTCATTTCTGAAAATGAGAAGAGCTTTGGAAAGAGGAAGAGGGCAGACCAGGATTGTAGGGTGTGGAAGCATGGTAGAGGTGGGGGCAACTCCTGAGGAGGGGTGTTAATGTTGACTTCTGGGTGGGGAAGAAAGATGGCAGAGGCTTAGATGATCAGAGGGCTAGCAGCCCAAACCAGAGGAAACCTTCAGAACATGGTTAGGGAAGAACAGGGAGGGAGGCGGGGAATTCAAGCTTATTGAGAAGACAGAAATGAGACACAGGCACTTTCCTGAGACCTAGGCACACGAGGAATCTGATCATATATCATTTGTCTAACTTCTAGTTCCTCTAATTAAAGGGCAAGGAAAAAAGAACTAACCTGAGACCTGTATGGCATCAGCAGTTGTTAAATCTGCTCTCATTGGGAGCCTTAGCACTGAGGCCAGCTACTCCCAGGGAACTTGGGGTCATTCTACAGGAAACATCAGACCTGTGAGGTCAGCCAGCTGCTGCCTCCTCAAGTCCTGACTCTCTGCCAGGCCTTAGGATTGAGGAAAAGCAATAACTTGCCTGGCCAGTCGGGGCCCCTGTCCCTGATGCTGCGGCAGGCCTGGACAGATGGGAGGCTGCATGAGGTATTTCCCGCTGCCATGAGAGCCTACATTCAACCTGGACCTCCGGGTCCAAAGCTAGGTACCAATTCTGAGGTGGGAGAGACTCCACAAATCAGTGGTGCTGAGAAGTTACTAAAAGCATGAGAGAAGAAAGGGTCTGTGCCCCAACAACACCCTAAATCCCTGTTTGCCGCCCAAACAGTAGCCAACCACACCACAAGTTTGATGATTTTTTTATTAACATATAATATATTTAATAAAAAATAATATCCACTCTGGCTCTCTCTTCCATTGCAAGGGGAAGAGTGGTGAGGAGGGGCTGGCACTGCCCACCCCAAGGCATCTGGACAAGCCCTGCCTCTGGGGCTCCCCTCTACCCCCTGCTTTCCAACAGGCTCTGACCTCCAGACAGACGGTTCAAAGTTACAAGTGCTTTAGGCCCTCCCTTGAGCTCCCCCAGGCCCACCCCTTGTGCAGAATTCAGAGGTCACCTGGACAAACCCCTTGGCCTTTTCTCATTCTTGGGATCCCTCATTCAAGTTAGAAAGAGGATCTGGGGGCAGAGAGTGGAGTCTCTACTGGCCAGGGAGAAGGGAGGAAAGGGACAGTGATGGGAGACAGGGCCAAGAAGGATGGTGATGAAGTCCCCTCACTGTAGCCGGTCACTGCGGAAGGAATCCTCCACAGCAGGGTCAGGCAGCAGAGCACAGGGGTCGCTCAGCATGTTGAGCCCTTCCAGGCCCAGTGGCTCCATGTGCAGCTCATCCTCCAGCTCCAAATCAGATGTTGACAACTCAAAACCAGGCACTCCAGCTAGGGCTACTGCAATCTCCTTAGAGAAACCTGGGGAGGAGTCTCCTGTGTGGGCAGAAGAGATGGGTAAGGACTCCATGTCCTGTAAACTCTTCTAAGGCCCCTCAAACTCCTGCTGCGCCAACAAATGTGTCCCTCCCTCATTCTATTCCCACCTACCATCACCTCTCACCTGTGAGAATGACATTTGGCCCTGAGCCATGGCGAGAACAGTGGCTCAAGTTCTGGTGGTTGAGGACATGGGGTTCCTGGGGACCACTCACTGGCCCCTCACCCCCTAAAAATCCAGGTCCTTCAGAAAAGCCAGGTGGATCCAGCACCAGGCTGGTTGACGGGCTCTCCATGCTGAACTGCTCCAACTATGGACACACAGACAGACGAGGAAGGGCTTCAGAACAGGGTGTTCCTGCCTGCCCCTGACAGCCCTATTGACTCATACCGTCAGCCCAGCGATCTGCACTCCCTTCCCACCCTCCATCCCACCACCCAGCCCCAGAAACAAAAGCAGACAGAGAGAGATGGTAGGAAGCAGAGCGACAGAAGCAAGCACGGGGCCCCAAGTAGGTGTGGGCACCGTACCTGCTGGGACAGTGCATGTGCGTGCCAGGAAGAGAACACATCAAAGCAGTAGGCATCAAAGTACAAGCTGCACGGAGATAGCTGGGGGAAAGGGGCAGGAGTTGGGGGTCACACGCAGAACAGAGAAGCCCCAGTCCAGTTACCTGTGTCGAGGGAGGATCTTCCAAACCTAGAGCTCCCATTTCAGCAGTGTCTGTCAGGCCCCTCTATCAACCCCCTGTCCCTCCCCTGCTTCTGAGCTAGAAACGCAGGTACTCACATTCCCCAGGCTGAAGTCACTCATTGGCCGTTGGTAAGACTGCTGCCCGTGTCCACTGGAATTGGGTGGGTACAGTGCCCCATAGTGCAGCTGCCTGCCTGGGGGCTGCCCACCTGAGGGCTGCACTAAGCAGGCCTGAGAGGGCAGCCCTGGCTGCTGGAGAGGCTTGGGGGTTGGTGGCTGGGTGGGCAGAACCAGACTTGGGGGGCTGTATGGGTACGGAGGCAATCGCTGGTCAGTGGGCAATTTACTGGTGTCCAGGGGGACGCCCTGAAGAAAAGCAAGGAACAGGGGGAAGTTTACCCCTAAATGTGCCAACTAAGAGCAACACCTAAGAGGGCTCTTAGGCTACAACAATCCTCCTCCATACAAACCTGACAAGGTTCCCATGGGCATCCCTGGAGCTGGGTTTCATTACTCAAAAATGCATTTCAAAATGAAAATGACCAAGTAAAGATAATTTTTAATCCATCCCAGAAGTCAGCTATTCCTATTCCTTGATACTATAACTTTTATTAGTAATCCAGTACTGTGGCACATCTCACAAATGAGTAATAGTACAACAATGAATTTGAAAATCCAAAGTCTTGAAGCAGCTAGAGAAAGTGGAAGAGGAAGAAAGGGAAAAGGAAGAAAGGACAAAGGGAAGTTAGGTTTGCTCTAAAAGTGAAACCTTGCTAGTCTGGCATTAGTTTTCCCTATAGAAAAAGGGACCTGGATAGAGATGGAACATAGACCACACATTCCAGGGAGTAGCAATGGAGGAGGAAGGGAAAAGAAAAACATGAGGTTGAAAGAAGAACATGAGGTAAGCAGAGAGAACAAAAATACAGAGGACAGAGAGGGAGGGAGCTAAGACCTTTGGCCTCTAGTAGAAAGTTTCCAGATCCCAGGGCCCTCCCTGATGGCGCAAGGGATTAAAGCACAACAGTGAAGCTATCAGTGGCCACTGAAGCACACGTTCAATCCCTGGCCAGGGAGGGAACCCACATGGTATGTCAAACCTGTCCTATCTTGTCCGATGCTCCACTCAACAGTTTATTAAAAATAAATACTTTTATTAAAAAAACAAAAACAAACACTGGTCCCAGTTCTTACTAATTTGTGTAAGCTTGGGAAATCACTCCCCCCAACCTCTGTCACCTCATCCTTAAAATGAAGGCTCCACTGCCCTCCCTGGTGGCACAAGGGGTAAGTCTCAGCACTGTGAAGCTACATCCGCAGCCACTGCAGCACAAATTCGAGCCCTGGCCAGGGAGGGGACCCAAATGGTGTGGCAGACTTCTCTGGATCCGCACACTGCTCCCCTCAGCAGTGTGCTTCAGTTCCCCACTCTGTCTCTGGTGAATCCTCTCAACCTCTACACCTCTGGCTGGTACCCCAGTTCTACATAAAAATAAAATATTAAAAAAAAAAATAGAACGCTCCATGACCTGAGTCTCTGAGACTATGAAACCTATGAAAGGAAAAGGGAGTAAGTAGGACAGAACAGAAGACTGAGAAAAAAAGTAACACAGAAAGGCGAAACAACAAATTCTCACTTGTAGAGCATGCATCTGGACTATGCATGGGGCTAAGCACTTCATGCGTGAGATGTCCTTAGACCCCCCACCGTACCACCCTTATCCACAGATGCTAAGATCCAAAGAGCTTTAGAGTTTGTCCGAGAGGCTGCTTGTCAGAGGTAGAGCCAGGATTTGAACCTACAAGGCTCAACCCCAGGATTTGCTCTCTAAAGCAATGAAAAACAAGAAAGAAAAAAGATAGGACAGATAAGAGGAAAGAGGAGTGGAAAGGAGAAGTGGATGAGACAAGGAGTATAGGAAGTAAGAAGAGGATTGGAGGGGAAAAGGGTGGGAAAGAATGTGGCAGCAGAGAAGGTGAAGGGAGACAGACCTGTAGGGAGGCAGCCATGCATACCTGAGTGATGGAAGACAAGGTGGGTGACATTGTTGGCGAAAACTGTTTGGGCAGCTGCTGTTGGGACCTTCTGGCGTCGGCTGGGCCCGCGGGCAAACTCAGGGGGCTGAGGGGTACACGGCGGTGGCGGGGGGAGGCCCCAGGGGTTGAAGCTGGGTAAGGGGGGGCACCCAGCATGGGAGATGAAGCGGAGGAGGAGGAAGAGAGGGCTGGAGCACTGAGTGAGGGGTGACCCAGGGAGGTGGCAGGCAGTGCATGGCGGGCCAAGGAGGAGGAGGGCAATGAGGGGTGACTGTGGGAACCCTGGAGTTGTGGCTGAGGACTGCTCAGGGAAGCCTGGAGGTTGGGATTGCTTAGGGAGGATTGCAAGGATGGGTGGCTGAGAGGTGAATGAAGTCCTGCAGGCACAGACAAAAAACCAGAGATGCCAACATTACTGATGGGAATTGGGCCCCTCTCTGCCCAGAAGGGTAGCAGTGACTGGACTATGGAAGTGGCAACACAATGTCCTCCTTGCTCTATCTCCAACAGTGAGGCTGATACTGCCTACCTGGGGGGGTGCTCTGTCATCTTTTTAGGAAAAACTACACCTACCAGTTCTTGCTGACATTAAACTGTTTGGGGACCTGGTGCTCTGGGTTGGGATGGGCTATCACAGGAGGACCCCAGGTGCTCAAGCCTCCCACCCCTTTATTCTTTCAGAATGGCAGCAGTCCCATGGACATCTAGTCAGAAGAGCCACTCACCTGGTGTATCAAAGCCTGGGCCCAGGCCCAGGCCCCCGCTGATGCCTAGGTGGGTCATGGTGTGGGTCAAATTGGAGGTACTGTTACCCCCACTCAGGCTGGGGTAAACTGTCTCCTCAGGATCCAGGGGGGTGGGCAGTGGTGGGGGAAAGTGCAGGTTGGTAAGGTCAGGTAGGGAGCCTCCTGTATTCATGGCAGGCGGGAAGACAGGCACATTGGCAGGCTGGTCAGGAGATGGAAAGATGCTGGAGGACAGAAAGGATACAAAAGATGTAAATGGGAGGAGGGAGTCATGGTGCTCAGGGAAGAGCAGAAATTAGTGGACCACATTTCCCTCCATTCCCTCCCCACATTCTCAGCTTCCCAGAGGTACTTACTTAATTCCAGGGACTTCACAGGACCGTGGTCGGGAAGAGGATGAAGACAGCTGAGGGAAAGAAAAATGAAGGGCAGTGATCAGTGAGGACCCTGGAAGACCTACCCCACATAAAGAGAAGAGGGACAGTCAGCCAAACCTACCTTCTTAGCATCCCATGGCTTCAGCAAGTGCTTGTCATCCAGCAAGTTCTGCTTAATAGGGGGGACTTAAAAGAGAAACAATGGTGATAAGAGGGCTGGAAAAGGAGCCAGTAAAAGAGGCAGAAAACAGAGGCAGAGGGGGTGGAGTCCCACTTCCTAGCCCTACACATAACTCTAACACCAGCTCAGAAATTCTCTGTACCCACACGTGGTAAGGAGCACCTACCTTTGGAGTCCATTTCGCCGTCCAGAAAACCTGCAAAGGATGTGGTGAAGTTGGTTTTGGTGCCACTTTCCTACGAGCTTCAAACAAACGCCCCCATGTCAACTCTCTACCCTGCAACACGGCCACTTACCTCCTCGGCGGCCTGGCAGGACGCTGGGAGGTGCAGGGCCTGGGTAAGTGTCCTGAGGGCTGGGGTTCATCACACTTGTGTGAAGGGCAGAGTCAGAGCTGGTCCTACAGTGGGGGAAGAGATGAGTTGGCACCAGTGACTGACTTTCTAGGTCTCCAAACAGGGAGCAAGGCCCCAGGAACTAAAGATAGAAGAGGAGAAAGCTAAAAGAGGGCAAGGGCCATCACCTGTTAAGTGCAGATGGGAGTCGAAACAACTGCCCCTTCTCTGCAGGGAAATTGCCCCAGGGCATTGTCCTGAAGAGGAAGGCAAGAAAATGAACAAGTACTAAGTTAGCAAATTCAGGACGGCCAAGGTAGAGACAGAGCATGGGCACCCAGCAATATGCCTCTTTCTTTCTGGTTCTCTCTACCAAGAAACGCTAAAAGGGAATCTTGATGCCCAGCAACTCTGGTGGGTATGAGTACGGGGGATAGGATGGACAAGGGGGAAGATTCTGAAGTCTAAGATGCCAGAACTCTCTGGTACCCACTTTGGACAGAACGCAGTCATTCTCACCTGCCACGCTGCCCTTTTCCCCTCCCCTTGACACACACACCCTAGCTTGCCACAGTTACCATTGGTCCTGCCCCATCTGCACTGGGAAGCTTGGTCACCGTGTCAACATGGCCAGAAATGGACTCTGACCCACTATTCCACCTGCCCCCACTCCTTCCAGGCCTGCTGTCATGTTGAGTGACAGCCGAGCCCCAACTCAAGCTACTCCAGAAACAGCAGAGTGAAGAGAGCTCGCCAGCCCTGTACACTGACCTCCGCCAGTTGGATTCCGGGGGAGGAGATAAGTAGGCAGGGCTGTAGGGAGAGCTGTCAATGTGAACAGCGCCAGTTAAGGATAATAGTGAGGAGGGGATGGATGGGATAGAGAGTGGAGACGAGAAGAAGTAGAGATGCAGCAGATGAGGTATTTCGAGAAACAAACCCCTTTCTCCTCCTCTGCTGGGCAACAACAGAGTCAGGGAATGGAAAAGAAGAAGGGAATCAGGCCTAGTGAAGTTAGAAATACATAAGACAACATCTCATGTAGGCAAGGCTTGGGAAGACAGGTCTGTGGAGACATCTGAGACTCAAAGCTAAGAACAGAGGAGGGAGAAGGGAACCAAAGCCCCACTAGAAGAGACAGAGCAGGGAGCTCTGCGCATGGCAGAAGAGAGCAAGCTGAAGTAAGGACAATCAGCACCAGTCAGAAATGGAGGGCTCAGCCTCGGCAGCAGCGGCGCCTTGCCAAAGGCACCAGTGCTGAAACATGGGTGAGACGGTCAGGGAAGCCAGGGAAAGGAAAGCTCCTGGAGAAGGGTGAATTCCATTCCACCGCCTTGGGACTCCCCAAGCCCTGTGAAGGATATGTGGCGGGGGTAGCGTCGGAGTGGGGACACCATTCTCCTGGGGTCTCGCTGCACCCGTTCTACCAGCCCGTGGTGCCGAGTGCTCCGAGATGAATCCAAAGGTGAGTGGAGAGGGCTCTGCTAAAGGAGACAGGAGTGTCAACAGGGGAAGCTGCCTGAGAGCCTGTACTACCCAAGCCAGGTGTGCACTCACCTGGAACTCAGCCAGGCCACAGCCAATCTGGTTAACGTTGGGCAGAGAGCCACCATAGTGGGAGCTCCGTGTGTACGCCAGTCGCAGTTTTTGGGCCTGTAACTGAGATGAGGAGCACAAGCGGAAAAGTCAGGGAGAACCCTGGGCCCTATACCTGTTCCTTTGACCACCCCTGTTATCCTTGTCTCTAAGATAAGCTACAACTCCTGCTCTTTTGAGTTACCTGCCAGAGAAAAAGAGAGAGCAAGCGAGCCAGATCTGCCAGGAAAGAGCCAGTGTTGGGGGAAAGGTCCACTGAGACCTGGTGCAAACAATCTGCCTAGCTTTTCTGCAGGCCAACCTCATCAATGACAGTACTACCGCCTGGCACACACTACCAGGCAGAGCCTGACAGTCTGCTCAGGGCCTGTCCCAGTTGGCATCCATCTAAGCAGAGTCCCTGAAGGGCTGCCAGGAGCCCCCAGGCTAGTCACATGGGTTAACTCCTGGGGAAGAGTGTCTATTAGACACCTCTGCTTTCCCTTCCAGATGTGTCCAGAACTAATTGGAAGATGAAGGGGAAGGTGGATGTCACAGAGCCATGGTTGCTGGCCTCTTTCCTTGCCGTTCTGAAGGGCATAAGCTTTTGGGCTCTGCCATTAGCCCAGCTTCAGGAAGGCTGAACAGAGATTGTACCCCTCCAACATCAGGAATGATGGCTCTCCTAGCTGGAAAAGTGTCAAAACCAAAAAGGACTCATCTACTAAATGACTTTTTCAGACCCAAAGCCCTTGAGATGGCAGGGAAGCCTGGAGAATACGGATGGAAACAGTTTTACCTAGCCCGGGCTACGACTATCTCCCTGGCCTCACCCCTACACTTTAGGGATATGTGGTACCGGAGTGAAACACAATAGCTCCCCAAGTCTGTGTACCACCATTATGTCCCTAAGATTTCTGGGGGCCAGTCATTGCCTCCAGTCAAATAAGTACTCACAGCAGCTAATGGGGGTAAATTCTAAAAGCTACCGGGGTCACACTATTGTATGCAGGCAATATTATTGTTCCAGTTGGTCGATCCAGTCAGTTAAGTGGGTATGCTATGATGATTGTGAGGTAGAAGAGGCCAGAAGGGGCTTTTTGACAAATCAAGGCACCACAAAGATAAGACACCTTAACTTTGACTTTTCACAGGCTTTGCACATACAAGTTCGAAGATGCCACCATGCCTGATCTGGAGTCAGAGTCCAAGGGCAGGGCCTCAAGCTGTCAGCTAGGGATCAATTTTTCACCCCCTTCCTGCCTCTGCCCCTACCATCATCAAAACCTCCTAAAGGGAAGCAATCAACTGTTAGTCCATGATCCTCAATACAGTTACAATGGATTATGATTATATGTGTGGGTGGGTGTGCGTGCGTGCACACATGCTTTGCTTCCCTACCTGTCTCCTGACTCCTACAAACCCCGGCACATGATCTCTAGAGACTCAAAAGGGGAAACACACACACAGACAACTAACGGAGTCTTCAACAGAGGAGGGAGGCACAAAAATACAACCGGAATCACAGGCACAGATAGATGCAATCACACACCAGTTGTTAAGAGCTTTGAAGTGTGGTATTTATGTTCCACCATCACCCCTTAAATTCCTTAGCTCCCTGCCCTGAAGGCTCACTGTAGTTGTCTCACCTGCTGTTTTGAGAATAATGTGTCCCTAAATTCGGACTGCACTCCTGCTGGGCAAACTCCCACCCTTTGCTCAATCTGACAATTTACCCTGGGAAGTAAAAAACCAAAGCCTAAGAGTCTTCAGAGGCAACTCTGCCAGGTAATGTTCTTTCTGAAACGTCCCTACACATAAAACTCTCCAAGGAACTCCGCAACTGGTCCACACAACAGCCATCTCTTTAGAAATCTCAGCAAACCATCGAGTTCCACATAGCCGATAGCCAACTGGTTACCCGCTTTCCAGTGTCAAAACCCTACCTCTCCTCCATGCTAACTGGGGCAAAACACCAAGCAATAGACTGTGAGCAATGGACCTCACCTTCATTCACGTCAGGAAACCACAAGAAGTATTTGAAAAAGGAAGCAAAGGGACGGGACGCAGGAGGGGACTTCCTGCCTCACTATACCCAGCGAGGCGGCTTAAACCACTCAAGGGGCCCTTTCCCGGAGGTACTAAAATACCAACAGTGGCACAACACGGCAGAGGGAACAGATCGGCGATCACCAACTCAGGAATCAGACTAGAGCAAGCAGATCACGCCCCGCAACCCATTACCCAATGTCGGGGATGCTTTAGTAGTCCCAGAGAGGACTCGATCACCTACACCCAAGGACCACCCACCTCCTACCTCCGCTGGGCTCACGGGCCCGTCTCTTCCTCCCACCCACTCCCATTTCACCCCGCTCTGCAGCGTCCCCAAACTCCCAACCTCGCGGATGATTCCGCCTTCCCCTCCCCACCCCCTCCCCCAGCAAAATCCGCCTTCCTGCCCCTCGGCCCTCAATCCGCGCGCCTCCCAGACGGCGGCGCCCGCTGCCCCAGCCGCGTTCCGCCTCCAGCGCCGCGGCTCCCGCCCCCGCCCCGCCTCTCCGTTCCCGCTCCGTAACTGCTCGGTTACACTCCCGCACCCCGGCGCGGCCCCTCACCCGGGTGGAGCCGATGTCCATCATCACCTCCTCGAAGGCCGCCGTCTCTTCGGCCTGACGCTGCTTCTGCAGCGCGATTTTCTCACTGAACTTGCGCGGATTGGAAGCTGAGGCTGTGGCCGAGCCGGGCCCGTTCGCCCCCGACGTCGCCATCTTCCTCCCGCGTCCCTCCCCGCCGCCCTCCCAGTACTAGCCACGGCCTCTGCCGCGGGCTCCGGCCCGGCTCTCCCAGCCGTAGCCGCCGCCGCCGCCGCCTCAGCGAGCACCGGGCGCCCGGCCCCAGCCTAGCCCTGACCTGTTGCGCGCGGGGACCGCCGGGAATTGTAGTTTGTTTACGTAACCCCTCCACACCCCCACTCACGCATCACGGAGAGGAAACGGACATCATTTCCCAGGAGCCCTGTAGACTCCGGGAACTGAGAACTTTTCTCCTCCCTCCGGGACCCTCCCTGCGCGGGGCAACCTGGGAAAAGTAGTTCAAACTTGATCCCAAGCCTACGAACGGGAAGGGGAGAGGGATTAGGATAGAAGAAAGGAAACAGGGAGGAAAAGGAAGGGGAGGAGGCAGGGAAGGAAGAAGGAAGAGCCAAAAGGGGAAAAATGTAGTCATCTTCGGGGAGGGTAGGGGACCTGAAGGGCCTGGATGAAAACAGTGAGACCAGGGATATTAAAACAGCTGTAAACATGTGAGATTCAGGCACTCTCAGGCCCGCCACATGCACACCCCTCCCCCAAGACAAACGAATCAGATAAGGTACAGATGTATAGAAACATCTTTTATTTGGGTGACATGTCCCAAAAGGAGTCGGTTAGTAAAATAGATTCTAGAGAATATGGCCCTATATACAGCCCACCCTCCCCAAAAATAACCCTGGGGGCATGAACCTTCCCCTTCCCCCTTGGGCTCCTCTGGTATAAAAAGGTTTTGGCAGCTCAGTGTTTTATCATCTGAACATGGGGCACCATGTCCATTTTCCCTATCTCTGGGATGCAGCAGTGGAAGGGGCCTTTACCTTAATCCTCCTCCATCCCACCCCAGCAAGCATTTTTGCCCCACCCTGGGATGTGGGACCCAAACAGAGAGCAAGCAGGCACCTTCCACTGAAGGGCAGGGCAGGGCTCAGTGCCATCACTGTGCTTTGAGAAAGAGGGAGATATATTTGGCACTTAAAAATCGAGAAGTGAGCAGGAACTTTGAAAAAGCCAGAGAAAGTACCAAAACTGGCAAGAAGAGCCCATTTGGTACTAGTCCCCTCTGATAATAAAAGAGGGAGATACATAAGAAAAGGAGCCAAGAAAAACAGGAGGGGGCCACTCCAAGGGGTAGGTGGCTGACAGGCTAGAACCAACTGGACAGCTGCTTCCAGGCCTATGCACTCTCTACACCACTATCCCACAGGAGCTGGGTGCCCACCTCCAGCCTCCAAGCGTCAGCTTGTGCCTATATGTAGTGTCTGACCCCTAATTCTAGTAGTCCCCCATATTAATGTGCCTTGAACATGTCTAGTGACTTGACCATCCCTTGGGCCTGGAAGTCAGGTTCTTGTCTGCTCACTTCACTTTCATTGGTCAGATAGTCCCAAAGTTTCCATCCCTACCTCCCAGCAAGCTCTTTGGTCCTTAATACTGCCCTTCCCTACTCCTTCCTATTCCCCACACACTGGGAGAGGGGTGGGAGGTCATTATCCAACCTTCCCCCTTCCTTTTTGAAGGCCCCTAGATTCGGATGAAGAGCAGGCCAGTGAGTAGGGCAAAGCCTGCCAGGAGCAGAATGACCTTGAGGATCCTCTGCTCGGAAGTGGCCAGCTCCTGGGGCAGAATTTCCAGGAAGGTGATATAAAGAAAGGTGCCAGCTGCCATGCCTTCCAGCACAGACTGGGCCAGTTGATGCAGTGGCCCAGCTGACTCTGCCAGAGCTGCACCCAGCCCAATGCCCAGTGGTGTCATGCATGAGAAGAGGATCCCACAGCCAGCTACCACCTGTGCTCTCAGGCGGCTCTGCAACAGCCTCAGGGACAAGCTGACTGCCAAAATACCTTTGTGGAGCAGCAAAGCCAGGCACAGCTCCATGGCCCGTGCCCGGTCTCGCTGAAGCCCCACTGCCAGCCCCTCAAAAACAGAGTGAAGGGCAAGGGAGAAGACCAGTACACAGGCACGCAGGGCGGAGGGTGTTGCTGGGGCTCCGCTTGCCTGTGGGACCCCTGGCCCATCATGCCAGTGCTGCGGCCCACCATTCGATGTTCCCAGCAAAGCCCTCGTCTCCTCACGAGGCGGTGGCCCCGACTGCTCCTTGTAAGCTAGTGTGATCTGCTCCATCACCAGGACTAGAAAGAAGCCCATGGCCAGGATGAACTCTTGTAAGGGAAACTGGAGCTGTGGGCAGAGGGGTGAAAAGGGGGGATAAGAGTCAAATGCAAAGTTTACTGACATCCCAGATATACAGATTTGGGGCCCCACACAAACACATGGCCACTCTGTCACTCAAAGATAGTCACTTGGTGATACAGACACAGAAAGATACACAGTCACACAGATTATGGTGTCTCCTACAGTGTTACATGTAAACCAAGGCTTCTCAACTGTTGCATTATTAACATTTTTGGCTACATGATTCCTTGTTGTAGAGCTATCCTGTACACGTAGAATATTTAGCAGCATTCCTAGCCACTGCCGGTTAGATGCTAATAAAAAACACAATGCTTTCCCTCCCTGAGCTATAACAACAAATACGCCTCCAAACATTACCAAATGTTTCCTGGAGAAAGGAAGTAAAGTTACCCTAGTGGACAGTCCATGATGTAGACATAGTGTCACATGTAGGCAGATAAACAAAGGACCACACATTCGCTCACCGGCCCAACTGCAGGCAACATACTGTGACATACTGTGGCAGTGACATTCAGGCTTACACAGTTACATGGAGGCACAGGTCACTGAATCACAGAGACACAATGATTTCATCCAGTTACTTTCTCAGTCTTAGGAAACTAGAGGAAGAACCCAGGAGGCCTTCCTCAAACTACCACCCAATTCTCTCAGTTTTTCCTATGTGACTTTCCTATTCCTAGAACTTCATCTTCCTTACCTGTTCCTTGGGCTATAACACCAGACCACTGGAAATTGCCTCCTATTCTCCCTAGATCAGTGGGACCTCTGTCTCTAGCCCTTCAGGAAAGTGCCAAGAGGATGGTTTGGGGGGCACTGATAACTTTCTGGAGGTATTCTGAAACCCACAGAATAAGTTCCATACATGGTAAAAACATACTTTTCCCTGTCTCAAAGGGGACTGGGGTTATATAGGGAATGCAGTGAGTGGAAGAGGGCCCAAATAAAGAGTTATTCCCTATAAACAAAATTCACAGCTCTTTCTGGTGGCAGAACCACAGGTTAGATGCAGCACTGCAAGCTGGCTGCAGCCGCTCCAGTGCGAATTCCATCCCCAGCCCCAGAAGTGTCCCATCTGGTGCAGCAGACCTCTCTGGTCTCACTCGCTGCTCCCCTCAGCAGTGTACTTCACCACTGTCTGTTCTGCTCCCCACTCTGTCTCTGATAAATCCTCTCACTGCCCCTGCACTGTTGGCCTGTAGCCCAGTTCTGTATGCATAACTAAATCAATCTTTAAAATAAAAGTTCACAATGCATATGTAACATAGCAAGAGACTTCCACATAATATAGAGTGACACAGAAACAGATTCACATAAACCACCTCACTTAAAGAATTGTGACTGAACACATCCACATCCACAAGGTCACCTACAGCCAGCCAGTGCTCACCGTCACATGCAGGGCTGCCAGGGCCTCATCTATGGCAGCCAGGTAGTCAGGCAGCAGGTCCAGGAGACAAGTGGCCAGAAAAACACCCCCTGCGAAGCAGCTTACTAGGCTCAGGGCTTTCTGGCGGGAGGCTGGAAGTGGAGCATAGAAAGAATAAGCAAATAACACCCTCCAGGACTACTCCCCCAACCCAAGCAACAGTGACTCTTGCCTTCCCTCCTTTGGTCACCTTCTTTAGACCCAGAGCCTTCCCTATCCCCGTGTCCATGGCAGCAGGGGTAAAAAATGCTTACCTGAGGCCTCAGGGTTGGCCCCAGGCCGGCGCAGCACACAGATGGGCACTAGACTGCAAACAAGAGTGAGCACCAGCAGCAGCACCAGAGCTCCCAACTTCACCTCCAGTCCTACTGGCACTGGAGGCTCTGAGGCTACTGCCTCTGGGTGCCACACCAGGAGCTCTGGCTCTCCCCAGGGCCCCATGGTGGCTGTGGTAGTTCCAATGGCTCTCAGACCTAGGCAGACAGAGAAGTGTGGGAACAGTCATGTGAGCAAAGAGGGGGCCAAGAAAGGAAAAGACTGGTCAGCAGAGTGCAATTCCCTCACTCCAGCCACTTTCTGAGCTGCCCCAACCCGACCTGACTCATCTGCTCCTGTGCTAAGATCATTCCCCTTTCCCCTCAGACTTGATCCCTTCTAAGTAAGTTATTTCTTCGGTTACCCTGCAAAGTGAAAGAGTAAAGAGGACTGTGTGGATTTCATGACCCTTTCACCTGGAGCTCCCAGAGAGCCTGGGAGTTGAGATGCTTTAAAGAAGAGTCCAAGCCCACCTCCAGAAAAGTATGGACGAAGGAAAGGGCAACTTGGAACAGTAAAGATGTCCTGGGTCGCTTTGGGGGCCACCCTGAACAAGGCAGGTTTGGAGGCAGGTTCACCCGCCGCTCGTTTCCCTAGAACTAGCCCCTAAAAGCAGAGAGCCGCTTCCGGCCACGGGCTGGGACTTCGGGGCAGATGCCCAAAGAAGCCGGGCCCTGGGGACCTGGGGTCCGGGGCACGCAGACACAACCGAGGGCGGTGTCTGAAGTTCTGGCTACGGAGGCGGGGCCCGAGGCCGCCAACAAGCAAAGAAGCAAGAGGAAAAAGTGCGGGCCAGGGCTCCGCCCCCCTAGGCCCCAGGAGGCCGGGCGGCCGAGCCCGATCCCACTCCTGGGGACCCGCACTCACCTCGCCTGGGTCTTACTCCATGGCATCCGCTCGGTTCCGGCGGCCAGCCGGGAATTCCCGCCCCCTCCCCATCCTCCCTCCCTTCCCTGCTGCCACCGCGTACAAGCCCCCGCCAGCCAATGACAGCGCTAGGGGGCGGAGCCCGACTAGGAGTGACGTAGACACGGAGCAATTGGAGACAGGCGGAGGCGGGGTCGGGGGGAGCGAGAAGAGCCGAGAGCAAGACCTAAGGGGTTTGGGCTTGGGACTCTACAGTGGAAGTCGGCTGGCCTAACCGCAGAGTTTTTATCATTTGGAGATTTTTTTTTTTAAGGATTTACTTATTTATGCATACAGAACTGGGATATAGGCCAGAGGTGCAGGGGCAGTGAGAGGATTCACCAGAGACAGAGTGGGGAGCAGAAACAGGCAAATCAACGAAGCACACTGCTGAGGGGAGCAGCCGTGGATCTGGAGCGGTCTGCTGTGCCATGTGGGTCACCTCGGGGTGTGGGGGGGGAGCCAACTCGCACTGAAGCAGCAGGAGCTTGCTTGCATTGCTCTTTTTACCCGTTGCGTCACCAGGGAGGGCCCATTTGGAGATTTTTTTTTTTTAAGAGGAAGCTAGAAATGCTTTGGGGCAAGACTTGTGGTTCCCTGTGCATCCCCCTCGTCCCCGCATACCCAAATAGTCCGCCCACTCCCTGAGAAAATCATCCCTTCTTGGCCTTCTCTGGTGGTGAGGGGTTAAGTCAGCATTATAAAGCTATTGGCGTCCACTGCAGCATGTGTTGGATCCCCAACCAGGGAACCTACCCACATGGTGCAGCAGACCTCTCCTATCTCACCCACTACTCCCCTCAGCACTATTCTGCTCCTCACTCTGTCTCTGGTTAATACTCTCACACCACCTCACCATCCCAGCCCCAACCCCTCTGGCTAAACCCCAGCTTTTATATGCATAAATTAATAAATCCTTAAAAAAAGGGTCATTGCTTCTTGGCCTGAACTGCTGTGCAGTCTGCCCTCTCCCAGTTGGTAGAGTGAAGAATGAGACCCAACTCAGGGGGTCCTGAAAGCCCACTCAATGAAGGTCTTCTCTTGACACTTTTGGAGTTCATGCAGGGTCCTTGGGTTCACTCTGGGAAAGATTTCACCAGAGCTTTCCTTTCAGCAGTCTGTGGTGAGTCCCCAGGCAAGTTTCTGTTTGCTGAGAAAGGCCTGCATGGTCCTCCAAGGGCAGCCTTAGGAAAGTGGCCTCCTCTCAGGGAGGTTAGGTCAGAGAAGCCCCATCAGGTACAGATCACTACAGGCAGGCAGGAGGCTTCTGCCCTGCAGAGGGAAGGAGTGGATGGAAAGAAGCACCTGCATAGTTGCAGGTGGGCAGAGGACTGCTGCCTGGAGCCACTGCAGATTGTCCTGATACAGTCCTTTTCTCTTGGGAGGGGCTCACTCCTTTGTGGAGTGGCCTGTTTGCTGCTGATTTTGGATAACTAGGTGGAATCTCACAATGGGCCCAATCTCTGTATCTTTATCCTCAGGTCTGTGCTCCTGATATTCCCTACAGCAGTCTGGTACCACAGCCTACCTGATATAGGCGTCTCTATGACTGGGTTAATAGTCATGTTAGTTCCTACTGCCCCCAAGTCATTTTGTGAGTCAGGTTTAAACCTTGTGATGTCTCCTTCAGGTTTTCTATTCTTTACCATCATTACCATACCCCAAGGCTCAAAGTTCCTTCCAAGCTGATTTCTCCTCCAATTCTCCCAACTCCCTCCACCCTTGCTGACCAGAATGCTGGTTCATTCTGTTTCTTGAATGCACCAAAGTATTTTCAATTTAGACCTTCACTGTTGCTTAGCCTGCTGCCAGAATCTTCTTCTATCATCATGGGAGGAGAGGGTATAAAAAAGGAAAGTAAAGAAGGGGGTTTGGGCTTTTCTTTTAGGCAAAAATGAAAAGACCTCATTATCTGAACATGAAGAGTGATGATTTTGATAAGACTCTGGAAATGTAGGCAAGCAATTTCTATAAGGGAATATGAGGACTTTATCAGAGGCAACTTTATATTATTCAAACAGGACCTACATGGTTTTTCTGTGGGAAATTACACTTTTAAGTGATTGACAACTAGTTACATTAAAAAAGCAATCATGAACTGAGAGTGAAGACACATGGGTTCTAGTCCCTGCTCTACCTTAATTTGATATGTGATCTTAGACATGTCATTTTCCCTGGAACTAGGTAAGTCAGGGGAAAAGAGGGAAGTTAGACTATTAGCTAGAGATTTCTTCCATTTCTAACATCAATGGAAGCCAAATGTCATTTCCATTAATAATTTCTGTACATGCAGCCTATAGGAAGCCCTTTGTAACTGGTATTGCTCTGGGAAGATCTAAGCATGGAAAATTCTTCCATAGATTCTGCATCAATCTAAGAAGACTGCTTTGTCTCCTCACTATTTGAGCCAATGGAGGAGATTAGCAGGAAAGAGAGGGGAAATTTGAGAAATCCCCAGCAAGACAGTTTAGTATAATCTGGGGTATATGGGTTTAGGCATCCAAATCTTGGCTCAGCTACTTAAGACTAATCTTGAGAAAGTTACTTTTGTCTGCCAACTGTGAGTTGAAAATGCCTGACCATGTGTTAGTTAATAAATAAACACAGAATACTGTTGTTGTCTTTATGGCCATTCGCATTTTCACAAGAATATTTTGAATTTTGGACATACACTCTTCCCCCCCCCCCCCCCCAGTTTCCTTATGTACTCAGCTATCCTTACCTGAAGTACTGCTGGAGAGGCAAGCAAACAAAACCCATACCTCTATCAATTCACCTCCATCATTTTACTTGAAATTAATTCCTGAGCCATCAGTCACTAGACCAAAGCAAAAACTCTTGGGTTTTAGTATTACTGCTTCTACTCAAGGATCTTTGTTTCCTCATGGGTAAAATTGTAGTATTATTTGCCATATCAACCTCAGAGTTGTTGTGGATTAAATAAGAAAACAGGCCTCCCTGGTGGCATAGGGGTTAAAGTATCAATACTAACAAGCTATGACTGGCCACTGCAGTACAAGTTTAAAATTATTTTTTTAAAAAAAGATTTATTTATGTATGCAAGAATTGAGGCACAGGCCAGAGGTGCGGAAGGTGAGAGGATTCATCAGAGACAGAGTAGGGAGCAGAACAGGCAGACTGACTGAGATACACTGCTGACAGGAGCAACAGGCAGTTCAGGAGAGGTCTGCTGTGCCATGTGAGTCACCTCCCTGGCCGGGAATGGAACTCATGCTGCAATTGCTGCTTTTAGCTTCATAATGCTTTAACCTGTTGTGCCATCAGAGAGGGCCACTGAAACTTTTTAAAAAAAAGATTTCATAAACACTTTTCTCCTTTATATATATGTGTGTGTGTGTGTGTATACACACATATATTTATGCATACAAGAACTGGGGTGTAGGCCAGAGGTGGGGGGGGAGGGGTGAGAGGATTCACCAGAGACAGAATGGGGAGCAGAACAGGTAGATATACTGAAATACACTGCTGAGAGAAGCAGTGGGTGGTCAGGAGAGGTCTGTTGCTCCATGTGGGTCACCTTCCCCTACCCAGGGATTTAACTCGAGCTGCAGCGGCTGCGCACAACTTCATAGCGCCGTGACCCAACTCCCCGGGACACCAGGGTGGGCCTATAACTGCTGTTCTTTATCAGCAGCCTAAGACGGAATTTGTACAAGCTGTGATAACAGGACTTTTCACCCTCTGAGTCACAGCTCTGTCACTTAGATCAACAGGTTATTTACTACCTACCTGGTTTATAACCCGGGTTTAGGAGTCACGTGGCAAGCAAAAACAATCGGAACAGCCCCCACCTCCATTCTCTGAACTTTTCTACAACTTCCCTACAATTTATTTTCTGGTTCTGACCCTCTCTTTAGTCCACCGGAAACCAATCCCTGTCCGACAAATAAGAACTCCAGTGTCATTGGTCTGGCGCCCTTTCTGACAACCTGTTCTGACCAATTACAGAGAGCCTACCTCGAGAGGCTAATGCCACTGGCTCAGTACCCGCCCCTCAAAATTCTCTACGTTTTTAGCTTCCAATCAGACTCAGCAGTGGGAAGAAAGCCACTGGGTTGGGGAGGGGATACTCCGTAAATTTTGGGCAATCCAGTGGACTCTTCTTTTGTTTTCAGTTCTGCCCAGCACCCTATCTTGTAAGATTGATGGCTGCCACTCAAGTGTCCGGTGCTCCATTCACAGCTATCTCTTTTCTTGAGGAGTTACCAAAACCTCAGGAAGATTTACAGCTGTTAGGAGAAACTGAGGCAGAAAGGGAGAGGCTACCGATGTTTTTATTTAGTCTGCTTTGTGGACACAGCCTCTATACCTCTTGCCTGCAGAGACAGCGCTCCCACTAAGACTTCCAGCTTGGTGCAACCACTTTGCTTGCGTAAGGGTGGGGGCGGGGCTTGGCAGGGCAGGTCCAGGATGTGAGATCCTGGAGGAAAGAAAAGGTGTAGTGAGTGGGTCATAGGACCAGAGTGGCTTGGCAGGACTGGGCTTTTCCGAACAGGTACCCAGGGGGGTCCGTTTATCTGAACCACAGGTAAGAACAAAGACAAAATATCCGGTGACAAGTGAGGGGGCTGCATAGGAGAGGTAGGGGATAGTGAAAGGGGGAGCATGAGGAAACCTGTTTGTGTGTGTGGGGTGGGGGGAGGAGTGGAAAGGGCTATCAGCAACTCTCCTTTCATTTCTCCCCACTTTGCCCCCAGCAGAAGGATGGATTTTGGAACCCCTGACCTACTTGATGTGTGGCTGGAGCCCCCAGAAGATGTCTTCTCAACAGGGTCCTTCCTGGAACTGGGACTCCACTGTCCACCTTCAGAGGCAACAGGGTCTCAAGAACAGGGACTACAAGAACAGGGGCTACAAAGCTGGGAACCCAGTGAAGGCCATGGCTGTGTGAGTGTGATGAATAGAAATGGGTTGAGACCCAGAACTCTGACATGAAACCCCAGAAAGCTTCAGCCTCCCCTTGGAGAAAGGTTCTAAATACTGAGCCCCCAAAATAGATGTAAGCCCTAACTATCTCCACACCTAAGACAAAAAAGATACAAACTGAAGAATAAATGATATATGTTTGAGGTTAGGTAGGACTTCCAAAAACTCTCCCTGCACACCTATACACCTTCTTCTATAGGGCCTTCAAGAGAATGAGCCTGAAGATATTCCGAAGATTTTCATTGACCCCAATGAAGTGTACTGCTTAGAAGCATCTCCCGAAAGTGGAATCTCTGAGGAGCCTGGCCATCCAGAGAGTCCTCTTCCCCCCAAGGCACCTAGTCCTCCTGCCCTCTATGAGGTTGTCTATGAGGCAGGTGCCCTGGAGAGGATGCAGGGGGAAGCTGGACCAACTGTAGGGCTCATCTCCATCCAGCTAGGTCAGTGAATTTTGTGGGAAGGGAACGATGGCTTTTCTAATTTCAGTCCTTGCCCTGTGTATCGGGGTTTTCACTCATGTGAATACCCAGCACCTGCTGCTGTTAGGAAGTATCCCCACCTTCTTTCTCCCATACATGTATCTCCCTTAGATCAGTGGCGCCCACCATTTATGGTCCCTGATGCCTGCATGATCAGTGAGCTGCCCCTTGATGCTCATGCCCACATCCTGCCCAGAGCAAGCACTATAGCCCCAGTGCCTCCTGCAAACCTGGTGAGTGTACTCCCTAGTACACATATATATCTACAGAGATGAGATGGGGGAGAGGGGTTTAGAGAGGGTGAAGTTGATGCTAAATTGTTTTTGCTCCAATTTTGGTGATATAAGGCCTGAAGACTAGGGAGACATGGGCAACTTTACGACAGGAAATAAGGGAGGCATAAGTCCTTGGGGGGTAAGGTGGTGATGACTCATTAAGAAGGTGGGGAGGATTCCAGAGATAAGGCCCTGAAGAAAGGCAAAACCCTGAGCCTTACTTGCTCAGCCAGTGCCCCTCTCAGCCTTGGGTCAACACATGCCCGTGAGATAGGCAGCTGAGAATGGTTACTAGGTACAGGGTGTTAAAAGGACTAACAACTGCCAACTATGTTTCCACTGATGGAACTGTCTGTGAGGCTTCTGCAATCCAGTGTTCCAGAGTGTAGGGGAATACTGCATCACAGCCATTCCCATTGCTGGGCTGGTGCCTGCAGTAAGGCAAAAGAGGCAGAGGGTTTTTTCAGGTTACAGTCTTCATCCTAGAAGTCTGAGGTGTTAATGGAAAGGTCTAGGTTCTAGCTCCCCTGCAAATATGCCATCAAAGCTGGGATCAGAAGCCAAGCCAACCACCTGAGAATTTGGACTGAGGAACCTTAAGAGTCTGGTGCTTTAAACTTGGTGTGCATCCAAAGTTCTGGAGAGTCTGTGGCTTTTGTTTTTGTTTTTAAAGATTTATTTATTTAAGCATACAGATTGGGGTACAGGCCAGAGATGCAGGGACAGTGAGAGGATTCACCAGACAGAGGGGGGCACAGTAACAGGTAGATAGAATAAAATACACTGCTGAGGGGGGCAGCAGGTGAGTCAGGAGAGGTCTGCTGCACCATGTGGGTCACCTCTGGGGTGGGAATCAAACTCACACTGAAGTGGCTTCGCAGTGCTGTGCCCTAACCCACTGCACTACCAGGGAGAACCTTTTGATGTTCTTTTAAATATTTATGCATAGAAGAACTGGGATGTAGGCCAGAAATACAGGCGTGCAAAGATTCACCAGACACAGAATGGGGAGCAAAACAGGCAGATGTACTGAAATAAGACTGCTGAGGGGAGCAGTAGGCAAGACACGAGAGGTGTGCTGTATGTACCATGTGGGTTATCTCCCTGTCTGGCTGGGTATCGAACTTATGCTGAAGTGGCTAGAAATAGTTTGACAGCACTGTCACTAACCCCTGTGCCACCAAAGAGGCCCCTGTTTTTATGTTTTTAAATAAAAACCACTGGGCCTCATTCTCAGGTTTTGATGAAGTGGGTTGGTGTCACATATCTCTAATAGTTCACCAAACAGTTGCAGGAGCTAGAAGGGAACATCAGGAAAATGCAGAAATAAAGGAAATGGTTCAGCTAAAAGCCACTGACTACCAGGAGAAAAAAGCAAATTCCTCATAGGTCACTAAGTAAAACAGAAATCTTTGAAGAAGGATTAGTTAGAAAGGTTAAGTTGGGCCTCCATGGTGACCTAGGGGTTCAGTCTCAACACTAACATAGAGATGAAGATTTAGTTGGATTTCTGGCCAAGGAGTAACCAACAGGGCGCAGCAGACCTCTCCTGTCTCACCCGCTGCTCCCCTCAGTTCTGCTAACCACTTTATCTCTGGTGAATCCCCTCTGCCACCCCACCTTTGGCCACACCTTAGTTCCACATAAAAATAAAAAAATAAATAAAATCTAAAAAAAAAAGAGAGTTTAAGTTACTCAGTTGAGGGGTTCAGGTTAACCAGAAGCCATCTATCTACACTCTCCCTTCATGCTTTGTTATTGAAAGTAACCAGTCTAGTTGTCCATGGGGAATTCTTTGTGAGGGGCCAGAGTTAAGGTCTAAAAAATGGGGATCAGACTTCAGGGAAGACTGGGTTGATACCTCACAGAGCCCCCCTCACCCCATGGTTGACAGGTGATGGGCCAACACATTCTGCCAAATGGAGGTGACTAATAGTGAATCATCTGCTTGCTATAAGATTAAGAAAAACCTACCTTAGTTCTTCCATTTCTTCAAATTCCCCTAAATTTGGGGAGATGTGGACTGGATTCTGCCTTGCTCAGAGTGCTTAGGTTGAAAGACTATGGGCAAAGGAAATGACAAAACTATCTCCTCTCTCCCTTCTCAGCCCCAAATAGTAATTTTAGCTTGATCCTGAGCCTGTCTGAGTTAAGGTCTCTCATGTCATCTCTTGGTTAGTTATTCCTCAGTGCAGATGGGCAACTCTCTAGAAGGCATGTAGGGGAAGGGGCCTGAGTGCTGGGATTGTGATGAGTCCTCCCCACATTCATCTAATCTCCTGCCTCCCACTAGCTGCCCTATCAAGCCTTGTTCCTGACAGATGAGGAGAAGCGTCTGCTGGGGCAGGAAGGGATTTCCCTGCCCTCTCACCTGCCCCTCACCAAGGTAACATGCTTCCCCAAAGGGTAGCCTAACTCAGCAACCCTGCCCTGGCTTCTGAGGAGACACGATGGCAGGAGGGCTAGTGGGGAAGGTTAATCCCAGGACTGATAAACCCTGGGCCTCCAGGGAGAGGAGAGGGTGCTGAAGAAGATCAGGAGGAAAATCCGCAACAAACAGTCTGCTCAGGACAGTCGGCGACGGAAGAAAGAGTACATCGATGGACTGGAGAGCAGGTCTGCTGGAATCACACTGCTGGATCTCTGTGGTCCAAGCCTCAGCTTCCTACCTTACCAGGCAGGTAAGCTCAGGGACTTTTTCCATACTTACTAGGGTGGCTGCCTGTTCTACACAGAACCAGGAACTACAGAAGAAAGTTCAGGAGCTGGAGAGGCACAACATGTGAGTGGGAGTACGGTGTGTCGGTGGAGGAAGGGTGCAGCACAAGGGGGCACCATTCCTGGGTCCTGATTCCAGATGTCCTTCTTCATTCCTGATTTCCTAGCTCTCTGGTGACTCAGCTCCGCCAGCTACAGATGCTCATCGCTCACACCTCCAACAAGGCTGCCCAGACCAGCACTTGTGTTCTGGTACAACAGTCTACTCCCTGTCTTCCCCCACTTTGTGCCACACTTACATCTGTTACCCCCACTCCCATTATACCTGCCTTTCCATCCCTGGTGACCCCAAATACCCTCTATTCATTGTATCCTTTGCTCCCTGTCTTTACTGCCTCCAAGCCACGTATCTTGTTTTGTCCTAGATCCTTCTTTTTTCCTTGGTTCTCATCGTCTTGCCCAGTTTTAGCCCCTTTCAAAGTCTACCGGAAGTTGGGCCTGAGGATTACCAGCCTCATGGAGGTGAGAGGCAAGAGCAGAGAGGGGCTTCACCCAAGTGAGCAAATGGGGGATGGGAGATTTATTCCCCAGGTAGTCAGGTCTCTCCTAAGATCCCTGACCCAGGGAAGCACTTTACTGCCTTTTCTTCTTCTCACCCCACAGTGATTTCCAGAAATATCCTGACTCACAAGGACATGACAGAAAATCTGGAAACCCCAATCACAGAGTCCAGACTAGGGGGCGGATCTGGGGCCAGGGGTACAAATGGTTCAACAAGGACTCTGCTTGAGAAGATGGATGGGAGGACAGCGCCTAATGGGTATGTCAGAACTGTGCTGCATGCAGATGAGATGTGAGCTGGAAAACTTCCTGGCCATTGCCCACTAACAATAAAGAATCCAGGGCTCCCCATGGTTCTGCTTCCCTCTGGAACTCCCACTCAGGGTTCTTAGGTCTCAGGGTCTGAATCATTTCAGGACGCCTTAGATATGGCCAGAGGCAAGTCTGCTATGTTAGGGGGCATCCTAAACATGATTTTATTTCTTTTTTAGTAATAGGGTTCAGGGGAAACAGAAGTTTTGGCTGAGAAATAAACTTCTTTACTGGAATTATTATATCTCAGAAGTTTTAAATAAGTAGAAGGGGGAGAAGATAGGTACTTGGTAAACTGATATCCTGAAAATCATTGTAGGAAAGGAAGCTATTTTACTCTTTATTCTGCTCATCAATGATCTCAACGAGAAGTTGGGAGAGAGGAAGTGCCTCTATAGGTCCCAAAGAACCAGGGGCATAAGTCAGTCCATTCCACTTTATCTGAGGTATGGTCTCTAAGACCCATATAAAAAGGCAGAAGGTAGCTATATGGATTCAATTTGCTTCCGGACCTTTTCCAGAGCCTTTCTGTCCAGCTGTCGCTGACGAATGATGACAAGGCAAGCAAAGACCACGGCCACACCCACAACAGCCCCTTCGAATTTCCAGAATAAATGTTGTTCCATCAGAGCTGAGCGGCAGCTGAGGACAGAAATAAATAGTTATTTTTCAGGAAAGCCAGACAGCTTTTTCCCTCTGATTTCCCTTCTATTTCAGCCTAACCAAGGTATATTGAAGGGAAAAGAGGAAACAAGTCAACCCTCGTTATGTCACCCATTATGCAATATAATGTGTTATATTGCATAAACCCCACTCCTGTATATACATTACTTTTGGTAAGACAAGCAGAGCTGGTATTTACCGGTTCTAATAAGAAAACATGATCAATAGTACAGTGCTAAAGAGTAGAATTGGGACTTGGGTTCTATTAGAATTTTGTTCTAAATCCTCTCCTCTTTCCAAATTGCTATCAACTCCAGGCCAAGAAGATGTAGAACTAGCTAGGTAAAGTCCTAGGAGCAAAGGAGGCATCTAGATGGTTTCAAGAATAGAAATTGCACTTGCCTTTTGAACTCATTTCTCTTAGATGAGCTGCATGTGATTTTCTCCACATACCCTGTAGTTCCACACTCAGGGGTAGTTTTCTGCCAGGAGAAAAGGACCAAAGCTCATGTACGGGATAGCAGGAGAAGCACTCAAAAAGGTTGCTGGACACTCAAAAAGGGCATGTATCTGAGTGCTATGGCTCAGAAGCCTGTAGTCAACAGAGAATTAATGACGAGTTCTCTGATGCTGACGGTGGAGGTGGTGGTTGCATGACAAGGAATATAATAGAACTCTTCAGAGGCAGTAATCTCTGAAAGGCAATTATCAGAAAGACAAATTCCGGCATCTAGTGCATTAAAATGAAAAGAATATGGTTATGAACTGATGTTGCCAATACCCTGGTAAGGAAACGGTACATTTTCAAGGGGAAGTTCACATCTGGACAAATACTTAGATTGCAAGGGAAAAGACAAAAAGACTGCATGGGCATGTAATAAGACTTAGGGATTAATTGGATGGGAGGAAACGGGAAACAGGTAAACAGATACTCACGGTCTGGAAACCAGAACACGGAGAACATTCTTCTGCCACCACAAATTCTTCTGTCAGCCAACATGGCAAATTTGAGGCGCTCACTAAAAGGAGAGAGAGAAATGTTAGTGGCACATGTCATTCAGAAAATATTTCTCCCAGAGGTTCTGCCATCCAACTTCCCAGCACAGCTGAATGCCCACATTCCACAAGGTGTCAGGCTTTTTCACCTGTCCTATTCGTATGGGGGAGTAAATGCCAAAACAGAATTGTGGGGGCATGGGGTTCCAGATCATCACTCACCTGACAGCTTCTCCTCCTGCACGGGAGCCTCGGCCTGGCTGCAGCGAGTAAGCGTGGACCGACCAGGAAAGAGGCAAAAGTCAGAAGCCAGAAAACTGGGAAATAACTCACCCACCTCCGCGGGTTATAGAACGGGTTTCCCTTAACCCGCGAGGGCGGGGCTCTCCTCTCTTCCCTCCCCCTCCTTTTCCCGTCCCTTAGCCCCTCCTTACCAGAGCTTTAAGGTGAGAGCGCAGAGCAACAGGCAGAGGGGGCGGCCCAGGGGGAGGCCAAGCCTCCCCGCGCCCGCGAGCATGGAGTGCTCAGTGTCGCACCTGTCGGGACAGAGGGATCTGTTTGGCCTCGAGCCCGCGTCGGGGAGCAGAGGCTGCGCTGACTGCGGCTCTCCGGGAAGTTCCAAGTCAGAGCTACGAAACGCTGGCCCCGCCTATCACGGGAAGGCTCTATAGGGTCGCCTCATGGCCAAGGCGAGAAAAGTCAATACGCATTGCCAGCCAGGGCCGCGAGTTCCCTCGTTCCGACCCGCAGGGTGCTCGGGAACAGCCGAGGCGGCGTAGGGCCCAGCCCCTCACCTCTGCTTCCGCTCCCGGCGCGGCCATCTTGCCCCGCGGAGGATCCTGGGCGCGGACCCGCCTCCTCAGTGCGGGCCGGACCGCGGAGGACGCGCGGCGAGGGACCGCCCGCTGGCTCCAGCCGTCTTCCTGGGGGGGCGCGTCTCGCCCGCAGCCCGCTGGGAGCTGGCGCTCACCGCGCTTGTGCGGAGAGAGGCGGCCCATTGGCTCTGCGCACCGTTGCATTGTGGTCTTTGCAGTCTCCTGGTGGAGCGGAGGAAATGGCGCTTCCAAAGCGCTTTGGGCTTTCGGTCTGTGCCTCTCAGGGCTGTCGCCTGTTATACCATGCTGTCCCAGAAGACCAGCGAGATGTAAAAAGCAACAACATGTCACCCTCCCAGAACTTAGTTCCCTTCTTAAGCTTCAGCCTTTCTGACACATTCTCCATCTTTCCTGCCCGGGTGGTCTTGGGGAGAGGCAGGGTTTGCTGTTCAGGGAGCAAGAATACCCGCACCACTGTGAATGTGAAATCCTGCACCTTTCATGTTAATTGCTGAAGTGATCCACAGAACAGGTCTCTGCTCTTGTGCATTAGTACAATGAGAAGAGCATGAGGTTTGTTATCCCAAGAAATTTTATACTAGTTACAGGTTACGCGACCTGTATTAGTTACGCGACTTCAGAACAGTATTTAGCTCTTAGTGTTCTATGTAAAATGGAATGCTGGGTTTAGTCGCCCCTGCTGGCCTGAGGGTTAAGTCTCAGTGTTATCACCACTATGGTTTGAGTTGGATCCCTGATTCCCAGCCAGGGAGGGGATAGCACATGGCGCGGCAGACCTCTCCTGACCTGCCCCTTCTCCCCTCAGCAGTGTATTTCAGTAAATCTGCCCGTTCTGCTCCCCACTCTGACTATGTTGATTCCTCTCACTCCCCCACCCCCACCCCACCTCTGGCCTACACCCCAGTTCTATGAAAAAGTAAATAAATCTTTAAAAAAAAGAAAGAAGTGTTAATATGTGTCTTCTAGGTTATATGCTTTTTGGTGATATGTAAATGTGCATGAAAGTACATTATTTGAGGCCCTCCCTGGTGGCGCAACAGGTTAAAAGCACAGTAGAGCATGCTAGCCACAGCTTTCGATGCCAGTTTGATCTCCAGCCCTAGAGGTGATACACAGGGTGCAGCAGACCTCTCCTGTCTCACCTGATGCTCCCCTCAGCAGTGCATTCCGATCTTCCTGTTCTGCTCCAGCTGTCTCTGGTGAAT